GAAACTAGGGGGTTATTAGGGGGTTCCATGTTTTGGATCCTTTAGGGGGTCTGGGAACCCTACTGTCCCCAAAAAGGTAAGCGTGGAACCTGCGCAGGTGCCGTTAAGCTAGCGCAGGTTTGCGCTCCCTTCCCAGCAGACCTTGGTTTGCTTTCGAACCACCAACGCAAACCCTAAACCCTGAACCTTAAAGCCTGAAACTTGAAGCCTAAACCTTAAACCTTAAACCCTAAACCTTAAACCTTCCTTTGCTTATTCCCGGCTTGGACGCTCAGGAAACTTAGTAAGTAGGTGACACTGAAGGCTCTGCAAGCAGGCCAGTCCCAACTTGGTACTTCTGAGCCCAAACGACTTACAAAGTTCCCTGGGCCTTCTCAAAGTACTAACATGCTTCATCTGGATAAGCCCTATAGACTAGAGCTTTAACCCTTCAAACCCTAAGCCCGAAACCCCTAAACCCTGAATCTTAACCCTAAATCCCTAAACCCTAAACCCTAAGCCCTAAACCGCTGAACCCTAAACCCTATAACTTGAAACCTACTAGGCCTTGGCGTCAGCGAATTTCACGCTCTGCAGCTGCGCGCCGGCGGCCACTGGATTCCTTTTTTGTGGTCCACTGGCTGGACCCCATACTAACCCTACCATATAGTTGAGGGTTTAGGGTTTAGGGTTTAGGGGACTTAGTAAGAAGGTTGACAAGGGGGATAACTAGGGTTACTATATGGTTACAGGGGTGACTCACCTGCACATTAAGTCCCCCTGACCCTCTGAGTGCCCCTTATCCAGGATACCTAGTTTTATGTCTAGTATCTTCTACATATGAGCTGAAATCCTGATATCCCCGTAATAACCCCTATAATACTCCCCTATATCATCTCCGATATAATCTCCTTTCAGGAATTTAGACTACAGCTGATGTGAAAAACAACTGAAAAAGGGGTAGGTATAAAGGGTTTGGGGTGGCCCTGAATATTCTCTACACAAACCCATCCTTACTAGTTGACCGCCTGGAACCTATGGGAAAGTTTAGTGAACTTCTGGGCTGAAGCTCGGGCTTAGGATTTGGGGTGAAGGTTTAGGGTTTAGGGTTTTTGGGATGTAGGCTTTGGGGCCTTGACCTTTGGGTTGGGCCTTAGGGCTTAGAGTGAGCTTTACGTTTATGGACTTCTTGGTATCCTTTCTCGGTCCCTCCATCTACTGGTCCTGGAGCCCTGCCTGCAACATGAGTGCCAAGCCGCTTCTGAAGAACTGTTCCCATGAAACAAGCGTACGGCTCTAGCAGTAGAATCAGGGTGCAGGGTTTAGGGGGTTAGGGTTTCAGGGTTTAAGGGTTTAAAGGTTTAAGGGTTTAAAGGTTTAAGGGTTTAAGGGTTTAGGGTTTAAGGGTTTAGGGTTTAAAGGTTTAAAGGTTTAAGGGTTCAAGGGTTTAGGGTTTAGGGTTCAAGGGTTTAGGGTTTAAAGGTTTCAAGGTATAAGGGTTTAAGGGTTTAGGGTTTAGGGTTTAAGGCTTTAAGGTTCAAAGGTTTAAGGGTTCAGGGTTTAANNAGGGTTTAGGGTTTGTAGGACTTAGTGGACAACAG